ATTTTACAGTTACAGGTGGAAATGAGACTGGAGTTGACCTTGTTTTGATACAACCCGTCCTGCTTTATTATGTAAATCAAGTTGATTTTTTTCGCAAACTGGCATTCTTTAAGCATAATTTCCAAAAGTAAAGGAAAGAGGTTTGTATCAAAACAAGGTCAACCTCAACCTCACATTCACAGTGCTGTCAACTCTCCTAGATAATCTGGGAGACTCCAGATTTTGGACCGTATCTCCTGGTCTCCAGATTAGAGTCTGATATCTCCCAGATAATCGCCAAAATTCCTATTTCTCATACACTCAACTTTCCAACCATAAAATTTCAAATATTTTGTGTAGTTTGAGCTACTACCGGAACATGTCCCCATAAATTCTGGTATGCCACTGTAATTTAAGCAATAATGTGGCTAAATATGAACTGTTTATGTGCTATATACGTTGCTCAGAATCAACAAGCACTTTTGGCACAAATGATGTCATTTGTTGTGTGATATGATGTCATCTATCATTTCTTCTCAATCAATTCTCAATATTTGATGACGTGGGGGGTTGACAGCCCTGCATTCACTCAAAGGCTGGAATACTAAGCTCACAACTGTAAAATGGTCTATTATCGTTTAAGCAGAGCTTCATGTAAACCTGAGGTTCACATTATCTTTTGCTGTTTGTATAAACTGTACATGCAACAGCCAATTTCCAAGAATGCCATGTAGTAATCTTTAAAGCATAATTCTTCCGGCCTTTTTTGTTACAATAGAATTCAGAGTACATATAGGAGGCTTGCACTAGAGCCTGTAGCTTTATCTAAAGAGTCCTCCAAACTCACTTCTCTCATTGCCAATATGCTGAAAGTGTCTTAAAAAGACAAAGGTACTTAACTATACTTTAGGTGGCCAACCATGAACTTAACTACAATTGTGTTTGCAAGCAAATAAGTTAAGTATGCAAATTTTTGAAAAACTGACACATAATGGTATTTTTAGAAGTGGCCTATTCAGTGGTTTTGCGCACTGTGCTCAAGGGAACAAAGTTGACAACTGCACAAAAATGTTTAAGATTCTACTAGCTCAAACCAAGAAAATGCAAGTGAAAATTCAGTGCAGTGCCGTATGCAGAAGAAATGGTAATAAAAAGAGTTTTGCAAATTATAAAAACAAAGACTAGAATCTTCTTACAGTCTCCAGTGAGCAAATGCAGATCGGTCCAATTTGCTTTGGAGCACATCGCACTATCGCCAGCTTCCGTCTTATTAGCCTGCCTACGTACATAAGGTGAAAGTTATCACAAATACACCCGCTGACCAAGTTCGATTCCCCATCCCAAGGCACTAAACTTCCCCCACCATCCCCCACCGACTGTTTCTTTGTCGAGTAATTTCGCGAAAAAATTATTATGCTAAGAGGAATGGCAGCCACGATAAGAAGGATTGTGAGCACTGCGAAAGCTCCTAAGGCCATCGGGCCTTACAAGTAAGTTAGATACGCTGATACAATGGCAGTACATATTAAACATGAGCTCGTCGTTTTTGATGAGCTCTTCACTGTACTTTAAATACTTTGCTGAGCGAAAAATATTGCCAAAACTTGCAATACACGCCACGTGACAGAAAGGCAAGATCTAGAGCTAAAACGTTTATGTGTCTTAGAAGTGTACATCCGAAGTGCTTGTGCTATCTGCGAGCCTGTGGGTATTATTATGACAAAATTGCCCCTCTCTACTCGTGATGGGCTAGAAAACAGCGCGCGCCCTGACCCAGTGAATCCAGGTTGAGTTTCACGTCTTGCGTTGTTATTTTTGCAAAAGTTAATTTCTGAGGAAATGTCTACTGTAAGAAAGACCGTTCACACAGCAAAAGGCGTCCAACCGATTCCTGGTGTATATAGGTAGATTTTGTAATTGAAAAGGAATCAAAATTAGCTCAATCAGTAACTGATTGCCATGAATTCATATAATTTGTTTGGTAATTTCAGCCAAGCAGTGATTGCTGACAAAACAATGTATGTTTCTGGTCAACTTGGGCTAAACCCTGAGGTAATGTTATCATTCAGGCCCTGTCCACAAGTATCTGGATATTTTTGAAAACATAAAATTTTTCTCTGTTTTAGCCTTCCATCCACACATGTACAATGTTTTTGGGTACCAAAAATATAGGTTTTTGAAAGCGATGCTGAGGGTGGAGATTTGGGAAAACGTTGGCTCATCTTTTTCCTTTGAAAAGACAAAAACGGAGGTTTTCAGATATGATGATGTCATACATCATACAGCGAATGTCCTACAAGGGATGCTATTGTATTTAGGTGGTTTTAGTATTTATGTGTGGATGGCCGATAGCAATTCAAATACCCTATATGTGGATGTGACAAAAACAGAGAAAAATAATTGTTCTACTTTTTTTAGAAGACGCGCATCCACACGTATTCACATATAGGGTATTTGAATCAATTTTCAAAAATGTGCAGATACATTTATAAGAGGCCAAAGTATCTTATCTTACCGTAAATCCTCTCAAATAAGCCCCCTCCCTCTAATAAGCCCCCCCCCTTTTCAGGAGAAGAAAGTTAATAAGTCCCCTCATGTCTATTAAGCCCCCCCCCCCCCCCTACCCCCAACACCTTCTCTAATTCTTCACTGATAAATGATAGACTGTATTAATCAATCATGACTGGAAAACTTCATGTAGACTGCTCCAGGATAGCCTGAAATTCATCCGATTGCTTCAAGTCGTTTTCTCCTCTCCACTGAGGGAGTAATAACCACTCGAAGTAATCGGATGAAATTCAGGCTAGCTCCAGGATGGTTTATTTACCAACTGGATTTGGATTCTGATCCTCAGGGGCATGAACTCCAGCCTTCTTTTACTTGAGCTTTTCCACTTTGTATTCTACAGTAGAAATCGTCTGTATTAACGGGGTGTCCATATTAAGTAGGTTAAATTTAGAAAATGTCACAAGGGCTTTCCCCAGGGACAAAGCAAACTGTCCATTATAATGAGGTGACTGTATTAAGCAGGGTTTAACTGTACTTAACTGTGCTTTTCACAAACATGTGAATTCTGAAGTTCAAAAGCCAACTGATGATTGCGTTTTTCGCTGCCGTCAATCATCTTAACGGACCTCTTAGGAAACAAAACTTTACTTTAACGGGTTCAAAAGGTCATGGTTTGTGATTTGTGATTGGTGGATTTCGATCCGTCTTTGTGTTTTGGTGTTTCAAGGTTTGTTGCTTGTGATTGTAATAATTATTATGATTGATGTCAGCGAAAAACACAATTGTGAAAGCGGGTTTTGAACTTTAGAGTTCGCATGTTTGTGAAAAGTGCAGTAAGCAATAAGATTACAACCGCTGCACATTTAAAACACCAAAAAAATAAAGAAAATCATGCAAGTAATTATTTTACAGTTGTGTGTTTAGTGAATATATGAGACTGGAGTTGACCTTACCGGTACTTATATTTTCACCAATGCTGTATTTTTTCTTTCGTAGACAATGGAGTTTGTGTCTGATGATGTAGTCGAACAAACCAAGCAGGTAAAGGAATAAATTTTTTATACATACATAATTCATATTTTCATATTGATACCATGTAATTTATTAAATTATTTAATTTATTATATATATGTACAGCATTAGGAAATAAAATTTATTTTTTTTAACGATGTATTTTTTCAGTCCTCGTTTATACTAAAACAAAAACATGTCTGTTCATAGCAAGCGGTTAGTGACAAAATTCTATTTTTTACTTGCATTAATGTTAGGCTTTAGTGAATATGGGCTACATCCTTGAAGCTGGAGGGTCATCATTTGACAAAGGTGCAGTTTATTAATTATATATTAAATTTAATCATACCAACTTGTAAGGAAGGCAGGACCAAAATAATGACAGAGTTAAAGGCAAACCTGTACTTGCCAGGGGATAAAAATGCGGCAGCGGGCCATTTACACGATGGCATCATTTTACTACCACTACTCTTAGACTCCTTCAGCATGTTGCTTTCTTCTCTACATTAGAGGTTTTGTTATTCAAACGTCAGTGGCATTACCAGATATAAATAATATGGAAGGAAAAAAGAAATGAATTCTGGACATCTTAGTAGTGAAAAGACTTCATCGTGCAAATGGCCTATTGCCATAATCTCTCTAGTTTTTTTCAGTACCATTTATTAACCCTTTAAGCTGTAAGAGTGATCAGCATCAAATTTCTCCTTCTAATACCAATGCTTTGTAAAACAGAATGGTCATGAGAATAAGGGACATGATCACACAAGATGAATTTGCTTGATATTTTATCAACTTCTCCCCACTACTTCTGTAGGAAATGAATAGGGCAACAAATGAGAATTCAAATTTTGATCTTGGGGTTTAAAAAGTTCAGGTACACATGTGCACTTGAAAAGTGCAGAAGAGTCTAGTAAAACTTTTAGGTGCTTCACACCACAGAAACGAGGATAGCTCCAGCTATATGAGCTACAACCTTGCAAAAATACTTGAGACACTGTACTTTATTTTGGCTTGAATGGCCTGCCCATGATCTTGTGCTTGTGATCCCCCTCCTTCCCTTATAAGTTGTCGGCAATCCAAGATCATGCTCAAAACTTAATGGAACAACTTTAAATGGAGGGGAGGAGGGAGGTGAGTATTATATATTGCAGACATGTGACTAGCAGTGATTTAAGTAAAAAAGGCTGGTTTTTGTCAGAGTGTCTCAATATTTTTGCAACTGGTTGTAGATATGACTTTACTCCATCCTATCTCTAACCCTTCCTGAAAAAACACATACATTGATATCTATATTTCATGTCATAAACAGGAGGCAGCATGGTTGAGTGGTTATTCGGACGCCCCAGTGTTCAAGTCCCGCCCTGACCGCTAGCTGGATTTGTTCACGGTAGTCCCGAGTTGAAATCCTCGGCCATGCTTGTAAATAGTCAGCTGGTTTGCCTCCGGCCATTTGGGATTCTTAACCCTGTTAAGTTTAATTTGAATTATTTGTTTCAGGTATTTGCGTGGCCCCACTAGCATTAGTGCTATAAATACTACCAAGGGTATATAACGGAATTATTATTATTATTATTATTACTATTATTATTATTATTACTGTTATTATTATCATTATTATGTTCACGATTATTGTTGGAAAGTTAAAACCGTCTATTTGCAGTTTATAATCCGCAACAACTCCTGTTATTTTGAGTGCTGTTGACATAGTGCTTGGTTTGGTTTTATTGATTCAAAACTTGCAGCAAATTCTTTATTGCAGTTGTGAAGACCACTGTTCTTTTGGCAGACATTAATGACTTTGCCAAAGTAAATGATGTTTACAAAACCTGTGAGTGTATTTAATTTTTTTATGATCCATTTTCATTATTTTGTTTGTGTTACAATCATGTTGTGAAGTGATTTGATAATACAGGAAATTTTCTCAACCCATCTTGCACCATTAAAGGTAAAACACAAGGCATTATATTACTCCTCAAGGGATTTTTGTCTCTTTTTCTCATAGTTTTCACCTCTCACCAACCAGCCAGGGCAGCATATCAAGTAGCAAACCTTCCCAAGGTGTGTCAAAGTTTTAAGTGGAATTATTATCTTTTTCACCAGTGCTAACTGGTGACACACAGCCTGTCTAGATGTGTTAAAACAAAACCAATAGCTTTTTTCGCCTGGCGCTGGGCACAGCCCTGCTCCAGGCCAGTGCAGTGTCAAACATTAATTTGTGGTGGCTTGCTGTCAAGGTTGCCACAGGCAGATAGCCCAGGCAGGGACAGTCCTTACAGTAGGTGGGTAGCCATGGGCCATGTATTGTCCACTGGAGACTTTTAACAGGAACTAACTTGCTTTCTTTTACCCACCAAATTAAAGTTTGATCAGGCAGAGCTAGTGATATTAATAATTTTTATTATAAAAATAATAATCGTTATTATTACTAGTCGTTTTTATTTTCATGTGACGCCACCACTGGTTTCCTCGTAAAATGACAGCTGAGAAACTAGCGCTTCAATTCCTTAAAACTGTGAAAGGTTTGAACCCAGGAGTCCTTTCAAAAGTAGGTTGAGTTTGATTGTCTGGGTAAACATAGTCCTGTTATAGGACTGTTGTTGTTGACAGTGACTGATGTTTCGACAACCTGTGCGGTAGTCATCTTCAGAGTCAACGTAAGTTGTATCATGTCAGTCGATGCTATTATACTCTGGTTATTGATCTGTTATGTCATAGTGATGACATGTCACTACCCAGAGCTAGCTAGTGCTTCTGATTGGTCATGCTGCATGGGAAATTTGCTTCAACCAATCAGAAGCACTACCTAGATCTGGGTTGGGATGCATCATCATTTCGCAGGGAAGCAAGAGGTGGCGTCATGAAATGTCGGCTCTCTCAGGCTAATTTTCATCTCGACAGCTTTTTTAATTATTACTAGGTGTTCACTCTTAACAACATAATAATAATTACTATTAAAATCAGTATGACAGTGATGAAACTTATTGAACACACTTACCATGTTCTGGTTTGGGCACGAGAATTGTGCATGGGCGAGGCTAGACGAATTGCAGTAATATCCCAGTCTCTTCTGTTGTTTAGATGTAAAAGCCATGTTAAAGAACAAAATCCTATTTTTTATTTTAATTTGTTATTTTTTGTTTTTGCTTTTTATTTGTTCTATGTATGACAACAGACATTTACAACGCATAACATTTAAATCTAAACGACTTCCCTTTATTTTCACTTTTTAGCTTGGTAAAGTCGAGATCGAAGCCGTCGCTATTGTTGGAGAGGTAAAAGATGAGTAAACTCAAAGAAAGTCATCTTAGGAATTGTCAACATAAAATCAAAGTTAACCTAGTTTTGTATGTTTTAAACTATCATTTTGATGGAAACTAAATAAAATGGAGGTGTGGAGTGCTTGTGAAAAATGATATTTGAATTTTTTTATTTGTAATAGTAACAAAAGAGCCTGATATTAACGAAATGCAACAACAGTTGGACCAAAGTTTTGTGTCGCTAATCTACCAGCCTTAATACACCTTCATCATCCCCTACTGGGCATACCCTGGGTATTTAACTCTTAACTCTTGTCTAACAAATCCGCGTTCTAAGTCAATTTCAGTTTGACCAACGCTTTTACCAAAACACCACTTGTCGTGAACAGTTTCATTAAAGCATATAATGTAGACTTAGACTTAAATTAACCCACTAATGAACAGATCCGCAGGCCCAAAGATTTCTCAGACTGCGATGTATGTTAGACTTCGTATAACTAACGGAGCCGTAGACTTTTCCTCCAGGGCCCAGTTTTTCGAACGCCTGTTAGCGCTAACCCGGGATTAATTTTTTATTCCGGGTTGTCTTTTTCTTGCGCTCGAAAAGACTTCCTCGCCCCCGCGGATAATTTCCTCTTTCCTTTTTAGAGCCACAATCCGGCCTCGACGTGCATTTCACAAAACTCCCGAAAAGTTTGGGGAAACCGTTTCTGGAAAGTCCCGGTAACTTTTCGGGCACGGAAACTTGTTTTATGTTTGCCGTGATGTTATTGGCTATGAACCCCCCACTCAAATCAAGCCGCCCACAAAAATACTTTCCAAATTTTCATACCCCAAAATATCCCTGAATCGAATGTTTTAAACCCAAAAAACTCCTTCGATTATCCCCGTCACTTGAAATCCGGTGTACGGGGGGGTACACCGGATTTCAAGTGACGGGCCGAGCTAGGAACTGTGCCACAAAAACAATTTTCCTTCATGCCCGACAAGTTACCGGGACTTTCGGGAAACTGGCCTGAAGTGTTTTTTCTCATCCATTTCTAACGATTCTCGGAAGTTTTTTTGCAACGTAGGCGAAGCTACTTTTGGATCTTGTAAAAGTTTCCAAATGTTTTCATTTTAAATGTATTGAAAATCACATTTGTGCGGCCGATGAACCTTGTGCACTAAAAGTACTGAGCTTTTCGGGACCAACATGTTTTCGGGAGTTTTGAGAATCTCACGCCTGGGCCTGTTTCTCGGAAGGCGTGGTAACTTTTCGGGTCCGAAGGCAAACATAAGAGGTTTTCGGGCCCGGAATGTTGTCGGCACTTTCGAGAAACGGGCTCCAGGAGGGGAAAGTTTAGTCACCGTGTAAAAGGAGTTGTGGATTGAGCTCTGAGTGGCAGTCGCGGTTGGGGGGTAAGGGGGAGGGGCGGGCAGGAAGAGGGAAAATTATGATCTCGGTTCTCATTTCGAATTTGTTCTTTACTTTAGGTTACCACGAGTAAACTATGAAAGAAATGTTATCATAGTTTGTAAATAATCCAATTACCTCTTGCTATAAGTAACATTAGAACAAAAAGGACAAGTTGGTGAGTTTGTTTTCTCTTCGGCCCTCCCAGGAGCCGATTACTTATCGGCTCCTGGCCCTACTTTGTCTTTACCTTTCGGAAAGCTTATTTACTTTTGGGATTGCTTCGTAGGGGAGTAGACTATTTCACTTCTAGAACATGTTTTTGAGTTGTTAATCGGGTTAGAGGACATGATGTTTTCGGAAGAGTTGTTTTAAATCTAAAACGCGCACAATACGGTTTCCCTGCGAAATGGCGTATGAAGAACGATCGGAGAATTTTCCACACTGATGACGTGTAACCCAGATCTGAGTGGTACGGCTTCGGATTGGTTGAAAATTTGCTTCAGCCAATCAGAAGCAGGACCAAAATGTGGGTAATTACTCGTCATTAGTATGGAATCTCGACGTTCTTTCACGAGGAAACCGCGCGAAAGTTTGGCTGTTTTCTCAGACTAGCGGTAGGCGCGATTTCACATCTCCTCGCCGGAGCTGATTTTCCACACACTCGCACAGCCGTTCTTTGTGTCGCTTAGCGTGACGATACAAAGAACGGCTTTGTAGCAGACTAGTTTATTCTGGTTTATTGCCCGATCTCTGAGAAAAATAAGTATTATGCTCAACTACGTATTGTTGTTGAGCATCAATTATAATGAGCAGTAAAAAGAAAAACTCCAAGAATTTCATCAATACGGCTTTAATCACATTGTTGCCGAATCAATATACAGTGCATTTACTTCAATATTTTAGAGCTTTTTCTAACAAAAATATTAAATCACCCTTTTTCCCTTATCTTTACTAAAATTCTTTTTATAAACATTTAAGCTTGGAATTGATACTTTTCATAGATCTTCCTGTACTCCTGATAGGGTCAAAGTGATAGTTGGTTTAAAAGTTAATACAGATACGTTGCCGTGTATGCATGTTTGCCCTACTCTTAAACTGTACGTACGAATTTCGAAAGCCCAAAGGCCCTTAAAAAATACGTGGAACAGTTTAGCTAAAGAAAGTTAGTTAGGCCATCCTCTTTTTTTTCACCGTTTGGCGTCGTCCGACCGACCCAAATTTTTGGCATTTTCAAAAAAAAAAAAAAGTAGCGACGTCGTTAAACCATTTTTCACTTGAAACAATTCTTTTAAAATGAAAAATGAGCATATTAACAACATAGAGAAAAACAGGAACAAAAACAGGAACATTTTTTACATTATATTGTGCATTTCGTTAATCCAAGTATGTTAATGTTAACTTTCAACGTCATACTGGGATGCCAGCAGGGCCTCCTATTCCGATACTTCTTGTGAATTTTTTTTAAGGTTTTTTTTTTCAATCCGACCGACCGACCGACTACCAGGGAACGCATTCGACGCTAAACGAAGAAAAAAAGGGGGATGGCCTTATCGCTAAAAAAAATTATAATAAATGACTTTCAAATGCTTTTGTCATGTTTCAACAATCCTTTATACGAAGGTTCTTTTTATCGTAACAAATAATAAATATTGATTTTTTTTGTTGTTGTTTTCCCTCTTTAGTTTAATTTGATCATTTGCCTATTTATCACGTCCTCCCTATAATTATAAAGCATTACTATACGTTTAATAGTTCTATTTTTCTTTCTCTGATAAATATGTCGGCTCTTACAAGACTTTATTGACTCTTGTGAAACTATCTATCTTTTGTTTTTGTTGTATTTTTCTTAAATGCCATCCCGAAATCCCAAGATCAAAACACAGTGAAGGTAAACTTAAAGGTCGAGAGTCGAACTCGGATAAAAATATTGGTTTAAACGGCTCTAATCTCCAATGAAAACGATTTCGGACTTATTGCCTAGAACGACATTACAAAAGTTCACCTCTATAAAGGCTCGAAAGTTTGTATCATTTTATATGTAGCGACATAGCAAAAGTGTGGAAGTTATGGTCGTGAATTATTAAAATGATGTGTACTGGCGATTGATGACGAAATAGTGTCTTATTTACAGTGACCAACCCGACGCCGACAAGGGTTTAACTACAGTACAGTTCAGTGTTGTTAATGAAATCACTAAGCGAAACGAAACCTATTTTGTAAACTTGCTTCGGTCTGAGTCTCTCACGGATTAAGAGATAATTGTGACTCTAAGAGCGAGTGAGTGTACGAGTAATCAAAAGAACATATCAGTGAAATGCTTAAAAATAAATGGATTCTGCTTACTAGTTTCAACTCGAAAAAAAGCTGAACAAACAAAGCTCTTTCAGCTTTCTTCACTCGCTTGGGTTTCTTGCTCTGGCTTGGCCTCTTCGTTCGTATTTTGTGTTTCTTGCTCTGGCTTCGCCTCTTCGCTCGTATTTTGTGTTTCTTGCTCTGGCTTCGCTTCTTCGCTCGGATTCTGTGTTTCTTGCTCTTGCTGCGCTTCTTCGCTCGGCTGTCGTGTTTCTTCTTCTTGCTTTGTTTCTTCGCTAGGCTGTTGCGTTTCTTCCTCTTGCCTTGTTTCTTCGCTAGGCTGTTCTGTTTGTTCTTGCTGGTCCTCAACTTTAGCTGTTTCTTCTGCGGGTTTAATTTCTTCGTCAGTGTCTGCGGTCGTGGTTTGCGCCTCTTCAGCCGCCGGTTGCGTTTCCTCAGCGTTTTCCGCTTCCGCGACCGGAGTTTCTTCATCCGTTTTTTCTTGCCCCTTCTGTCCTTCAATTTCTCCTACCTCGCTGGTTTGCTCTGTTGGTTTTTCTCCAGTCTCTCCGTCAGGCTTATCTACACCACTGTCTTGCACTGGAGCTGTCTGCGTCGCTGACGCGCTCGCTTCTGCTTCGGGCACTTCTTGCGTTTCGTCTTCCTTTTTAGGAGCCGCAACATCTTGCACAATTTGAGAGCTTTCTACTGCTCCTTCGTCTTTCGTCGCTTCCTCCTCAGTCCGGCTACCTTGCTGATCTCCGTCGTCGGCATTCTTTTCTACCACATTTTGTGGATGACTTTCTTCGTGTATTTCTCGAGATTCCTCACCAAGAGGGTCTTCGCGCGGCTCAGCTTCTACAGGCGGCGCTGAACTTTGAGGTTGATCAACTTCTGCTTGTTCTTCTAAACCAAAAAAATAGCGTTGTTAGCACCCTGCGAAAGAAAATACTAGCTCATAGGACTGATAATTCTATTTGTATTCCTGCAGGCCTTAGAGTAGGTGTAAAAAAAAATCTCAATTGTACAACGTACTTTCCTTCGACCGAAAAATTTCGATGAGGCGCTTAAACATTTTGACTTCTCAATTCCTAAGAACCAGAGCTAACCCACAAATACAGAAATGATGAAAACTCTTATTTGACTTTGCGAATTATTTCCGATTTCATGGACCAATCAGAACCTGATCGGAAAGTTGTCGGTTTAAGATCACGAGTGACCTGGTCGGAATTTGAATACTGCAGTTCCTGCCTGATTTAAACAAAAGTCAGTGTGACTTGGTAGCTTGTAAATAGTAGTCATTACTGTAATTGTAATACAGTAGTCACGTGCGCGCGAAGGTAATTAAGGCGAACAAGTCGTTATTTGTATTAGGATCTTTACGTAAGGAAGGAATGTCCAAGGAGGAAGTAGATCACCTTTTTAACGCAATAGTTTTACCAAATTTTTCTTACGCTCCTGCCGATTTATGGTGCCTCAGATTCCGACCTTTCTGTAATACAGAATTTTTTAGACCGGTGTATGAAAAGAAAGTTTATGTCCAAGAATGTAAATATCAGGGACTTGCTAGAGAAGGCGGACAAGACACTCTACAAAAAAGATCGAATGACCCCGAATGTCCGTTCTTCCAGTTTTTACCTAAGGAAAAGAACACGAGGTACAATCTTAGAAATACGTCAGTCTCTGTCCCTAGAATCTACACTGACAGGTTTAAGAACGTTTTTAGTAACAGAATGATTTTTAGATGTGATATGTAAATAGGTTTTTTGAGTTTATATTGTAACTTAGGATATGTAACTTTATCTTAAGAAGTAAAGATTATTATTATTATTATTATTATTATTATTAAATCACGAGATTTGCCACTTCTTATATTACAAACACTGATTTTATCGTAAAAGCACACTTAAGGCCAAAACTTTCACCCAGCCAGACAACTCTTCTCTAGGTACCAACTAAAGATGCTAAACTTCATACAGTCGCTACCTCTATCAGATTCGACCACCTCCCTATTACGGACGGTTTACTTGGTCTTAAAGATACCAAACTTCATA